CCTTGACACACATGCACAGTAGTGGTAACTGGGGTAGGCCGTGGACGTCACAAGACATTATACAGACAGGATCGTGGCTACCCAGCAACGGAGCTCAAAAGTGTGGGATCATTTTAAGAAAATGAGAGAAACCTGTGCAATATCTGCAGAGCAGAACTTACCTTCCACAGCAATTATTTTTAGTTAGCATATAGCTAAAATCTAACCATGGTTATATAATAGCAGCTGCATTCTGACGTGATAAGCTGTACGTTTTATATTCAATTAACATATGATCCGATTAGTCGACTAATCTAATAAATAATCGGTGATTAATCGATTATAAAAATAATCGTTTGTGGCAGCCCTATTCACGTCCCACCAAAACATTTTGATGTGACTCCAGAAACATGGATTTGCTGCACACATACATTTAGCATTAAAGCAATATTTGGGTAGTCATAATCATTTTAGTCACACTTAAAATTATTTTTAAATGATTTATTACACTTAAAATTAAGACAGTATGCTAATTCTTTCATGTTTTCCCATGCGTTTCACTTTTGTACCTGTTACTGAGCCTGACACAAAAACAGAACAAGATGTCACAGATCCAAAAATAGTCAGAAAGACAAAAGTCTTTGCTTTTGATATGTTTATGTTTACAATATGTCACAGCTTAATAAAACTTCTAGTCTACTGTGAACATGGGCCAATTTCCAGGGAGGTTTTCTCCACTTGTATGTTAAATACGGTAGCAATTCCCGTTTTACTATTTTTCTGAATGTCAATGGTTTCATTTTTTTTAAGTAGCAAAATAATAAATAAATAAATGTTCACGGCTTGGTTACCAGAAGAGTGCCATTCATCACKTTGTTAAATGTAATGCTGTTTTGAAATAAATATGTACAACACGCAGCAAGAATTAGAAAATATTGGTGACTTGAACTGCATGGAGGCTAGCCAGGCTAATTAACTAGTAATCATGAGCGGTCGGACTCCTAACATTATTCTGCATAATATGCACATTTACTTTTGAATTGTAACTAAATTCATCTGGTGTTTACTCTGACAGACTTTGATTTGAATGTTAAGCTTGAGATTAAATTAATATTTCAACTTTGATCTTTAAAATGTCATAACTGATAATGATTTAATATCAGGAGTATAAGAGTTTTCTGATGCTAATTTTGCTTAGTCAGCACGTTCACTTGTTCTCTGAGACATTACAAAATCATGGTATTTTTGCTCAGCATTATCAAACAATCAGAATATTATTGTCACATAGCTGGGATAAAAATGCCTCACTCTGCCCCTGCCCTGAATGTGGACCTAAAGTAACAACAAATGCTCATGTGAAACCAATTACTAAACAACACGTTACTTCTTGTATTTAGTCTTTGTTTTGATTGTTTAATTAAATTTAATGGGTGAAACGAACACAGGAGAAATCTTTCACCTGAATTAACGTGATTAGTTYGGTCTGTAAACAGAGCAGGCTCTTTTCCAAGTGGAAAGAAACAAACTTTGATGGCTCTAATTATTTAAAAGACTGTAGAGTTTCAACTGAAACCAGCTTGTTTCTTTCACAGGCATGTGTCGCTGCTTTGCTACGGTTTCTAAAAGCCACACCAGATCCTTCATCAATAGTTTTTAATTAATTAAAACTCCTCAAAATAAAACATCTAATTTTTAAAGACAATACATACTGTTCATTTGCTTTAATCTAGTCAATGGGGAACAAAAGCAAAATCATCTATAAGTATATTATTAATGCATTTTTTTCTTCTTCCTGTTGCTTTTAATCATGCTTTTAAMTATGTGTTAGGTTATTTTAAGRTAACAGATCCTTTCCTAATGCTTGRTGGTTTAAGCTYTGATCAGACAGAAGCACTSACTGCTGCATTTCCAAAAAACCTAATTTATTATCCATACACTGCTGTCAGTGATCGGGTTTATGTAATGAATCCTATAAATAAATCCTTGGAGGCAGACCACATCTCTGCTTGTGACATTTTAGTATAAAACACTGTCTGGAATTTACAAGTGTGGTGTGCAAAGTTAGGAAAAAAATCTTCTCACCAACCCATCTTCATATGTATCCTGACAAATATTCTAAAATATATCAATATTAATAGGTTAAATTTGGCTGTGGGCATATTCTGGTTTGGCATGTTGGAAACTTTTCAGTGAAAAGGATGACTTTTAGACACTAACACACCAATTTTTTAGGTCATTATCTGTAAAACTGACCAAGGTGTATCTATTTTAGTGTTTGCTAACACACAGTTGCTCCATTTGATTGAACTATTTTCACTTTTTTTATACTAAACAGCAACTGTCATATCTTCACAAAGTTTAAGATGAAATTCAACATCACTTTTGCAGTTCACAGGTCCATAAAGACTGTAGAACAATATCTAGTAATGTTTCTTTTTTTTCTTTATCTGCATAACTGGGGATAAAAAGACATGTATTATTTTAATTTTAAGGCAAATTCCACATTCTCATGTGTTGGTAAATCACTGTTTACCAACAGGGCATAGATGATTTCTATCAACACAGACATACAGTTTTTGTTTGCAGAATAAATGCTTCCAATATAAACACAACAATTTGCTCCTGAGCTGCTATTTTCTGATGCCTCTTCATCATCTGTTTGAGAAGAATGTATGGTTCTGCAAAACTGAAGGAAGGAAATTGTAGATGGGTTCTTTGGTGTACAATCAAATAATCACAGCACCAGTCAATCACCAGTGTATAAAATGTATCCAATTATGGTCTAGATGATCACATTATGGCAGAGTTCACYGTGCCTCGGGACCAGAGTTATAAGGGAATAATCAGGCCTCACAGGAAATGATGATACATGAGAAGAGATGAAGTACGTGAAGGTAAATCCCACCGAACAAAACTTYCCTTTCTGCTCTGGGCAGCAATAAAATGTCTCATCATACCTGAGAAAACATCTTCTTACAAACATATGATTTGCTTCCAGCTAACATCAAGTGGCGCAGCCAAGGAATACTCTAGGTAAGTTTGTATTTTATTGTTTAAAGGATGAAAGACATCTTACTGAAGCCATTTAACCCCTTCAGGGAGATCATCTATGATAAAATAGGTCTTTATGAAACAACCACAAAGTCCCTCAGTATTAGACACCAGTGGTGGGCAGCACTAAYCTAAAAATTAGTTCCACTAGCCCTAAAGCACTAACTCAAATATTTAGGTCCCTTATCAAGACTTATCATTGACATTCCACAGCTGTATTTGGGTTCATAAATCTTCAATATGTCACCTGGTGCATGAGTGACAAATATATGAACAAAATGTGYGACAGCTTTCACCTTCAGTTGTTAACTATAATGTTGATCAATTAACAGGTCTCTCTTGTAAATAAGACAATGAGTCTCAAGAGATTTTCCTGTATGGATAAAGGATAAATAAAAAAATCAATAATATTTATAGACCTCAGTTAGTGCTTCTAAATTTAGCAAGTGCTGAACCACTAATAAATTTTAAAATTAGCAAAAGCCCTAAAGCACTAATCAGGAAAGTAGTTCCCCTATTAGTGCTTTAGTGCTTTAGGGGAACTAAACAACTAACAGTTTCTTAAAAGCTCCCAGTCATGCACTCTGAATAACTTGAAATCTATTGT